CTCGAAACGTTGTCTGATTAAAGGTTTCAAATGTTTCATGTTACGCTAAGCATAAACACCAAACAAGTTCAATATACGCCACTAGCCTGGCCCCTAATGAAAGAAGGCCGCTTTTATCTACCAATTTCCATTATTGATTCGAGGCCCATATAAACGCACTAAGATCCATTTAATACTCGTATTATTCAACCTTACAACCAGATCTACTTTTAGAGGATTAATAGTGTCTTTTGAACCACAATTGAGAATGCCCGATCAGACCTAAGTAACTTGTTGAATTTAACAAATATTATCACAAGATTTGATTGGAAAAAAGTAAATTCAACGCGATGTGTTTGTCGTAAACACCATGTCTGTAGTACCCGCTTTATCTCTTTTTAGTAATACGTGATATCTGCCCAATAGTGCAGCGTAGTAATTCTGCAGAGTTCTTCACGAAGACATGGTTGCTTTGGAAGCTTCCTAAAGTGGATAGGCAAAACAGAATACTGGAACTGTAAGAATTGTGTTCACGAGGAGGATGCTTTTCAACATTTACTAGATTCAGTTGATGGATTGTCTGCCAGGTACAGTTGGAACTGGCTCTCGGCGATATGCTCACTGCTGAAAAAATTTTACATGCATTTCGACGGGGGCAAATGAGTTGGAATGCACCCAATAGTGAGGCGAACGATGCTGAGCAAGATATTTGACGAAACAAGCTGACAGCGAATCCAACTATAGGTTAATTATACGGGTATGTATAGATGGAGGTATTCGAACAGAAGTATTATATCAAGCTTTTCTGCCTGAGAGTTGATATAAAAGTGTTCTGCTGTCTAAAAGGAAGGAATTTAATTTCAATGGTCGAAGCCTTGCCCACGGATACGTCATCTGCTGCCCACCCAAGCATGTATGAGTTTTGCATGATATACTGACCTCGCCTATGGTGCATTTTTCAAAATAGTATAATTGTTAATATGTTACGTTGTTTATGTGATTCAATAAATTAGTTGGCTAGTTATTAGATGTCAAAACAGATAACATAAATCAAGTCGAAATACTCTGCAAGTATTAAAGTGGTTGTTAGAATTATCACTTTGACCCATTATTCTCCGGATATATTGTCATAAAATCGTATTATATATGTTCCATTTATGAGCCGTGCATCTTTAAGAAAAAAAATAACGTATGGGCTTATGAATAGAAAATGAATGTTTAAAATTTAACTTCCTGCGGCTGCATCATTTCGGGGCATTTTTTCATGGTAATTAAAAATAAATCTTTTCCTCATCAATTTTAAACAACATTACTATTATATGCTTGGTTACGCATAGATTGCCAGCATTTCTGATTAGCAACAGAACTTTGGAAGGACTATCTCATAAACTTATTGACCAAATCTTATATTGGCACCCGCCAAAACAAAAAAAATACTCTTGAGATATCTTCTAAATGTGTGAAATATTGCTCTAAGCCTTGAGCCTTACACCAACGTTGAGGTTGTGGGATGAAGAGGAGAAGCCGTAAATTACGACGGATATCTTGCGGCCATAGATAAAGTCAATCACCCATCTGCAAAGCTTCTCTGGGAGGCCATAGGAAGGAAGTTTGCTTAAGCGGGCAGCGTGCCACAGCTGATCGAACGCTTTTGTGATGTCAAGGGCAACGACATGGGCCTCACCATAAGACTGGATGAGTTTACTCCACAATTGGGTGACGCAAGCTAGGAGGTCCCCTGTGGATCGTTGGTGCCGGAAATCATACTGCCTGTCGCTAATCAAGCTTTAACGTTCGAGGTAGTCCAGATGCTCGCGATTTATGCACCTTTCCATCACCTTACTTATAACAGAAAGCAGAGCTATTGGCCTGTAGTTGTAAGCATCTGTCTTAGATCCTTTTTTGGGATGGGTTGGACATGAGCAAATTTTCAGTTTTCTGGGAAGGTGCCGGATTCATAAGTTATCTGGAAGAGACGCGAAAGAACTGGAGCAAGCTCCGCTGCACACCTCTTCAGTACAATGGCAGGAATCAAGTCCGGACCAGAAGCTTTGTTGATGTCGAACGACAAGAGCACTCGTCTTACGGTCTTATGCCTGAATGTTACCTCCCGCATAGTGTAGGGAATCCTTTGGGTTGACGGCACTTGGGCATTGGGGGGGGGATGTCCAGGGTGGAGTTGGCAGCAAAGATCTTGGCTAGCACATCCGCCTTGGCCTTTGAATCGAATACAATCGTTCCATATTGACACGTAGGTGGTAGGAGGCTACTGTGTGAGAAGTTCTTTTCAATCTGCTTCGCCAGCGTCCAGAAAGACTGACTGCCATTACTTTGCGACATTATCCTGTGCCTAACTTTTATATCGTGCTGGTTTTTGGCATTGCGAACCGCTTCGTTATATTTGTTTCTGGACTCGACGTCGGCTTGTCTGTTCTCTACAGTTGTGTTTTGTAGGAAAAAAGTAGGACTCGTCACCAGCTGGGCTAGCGCTTGAGTAAGAGCGAACACTTTGACTGCACGACCTGCTGCATCGGTATTTACGACCGGAATTCTTAGTGCTCGAGGGATCCATCATCATTAGTTTCTCAATAGTTTCTTTATTTTGGAAGATAACTGACTGCATAGCTTAGGTGCGGAAACATGCGTACATTTATAAGACACCCTGGGAAAAGCTAGCGGGTGGTACTGCCTCGGTCGACTGGACCTTGTTCTTTTTACGTGTTAGTGATATTAAATAGACCTAAAATGGCCCGTTGGCGGACTTGTACCGCCACGCGGCAACCGGTACTGAGGTATTCCTTAACGCGTGTACAATCGCTTGAACGGATACAACAACTTCCGGAACAAGCATTTGCCACGGCCAACCTCAGCAGGGGAGGAAGATTCACGAAGTATCGATTTATGTGATCTTCAATCATCATCAGATGAACTGAGTTATAGATAACGGAAGTTCATCGGTCATTCCCGCTGGTCTGTCTGTCTATTATGTCTGTCTGACTTCAACCCATTGGTTGCGGAGCAAAAAGACGAAAAAATAAAAAATGACTCAAACTTCGTTGTTTCAGATACTGCTGCACATTTCTGGAAATTTTTGAGGGATGAAAAATTAGGGGTAGGCACCTGTTAGACAAGTTTCACACATATGTGCGGTCAAAACTTACGAGTAGAAAGTAGAAATTTCTTCGATATGAATAAACCTGCAGGAGGAATAGCCGCTGCCGCTGCGCTGGCGGCTTACTCATCACAACGTTGCGTTTACTTGTCAAATGAGGGGGGACTGGGAACTAATACATGGGCCTATTTGCCTGACGATCTCTTACTTGTAGGTAGTCAATCTTTTTCTGGAATGGCCAACTTGTGCCGAATATCTTTGTTGAACTGATGATAGCGATGTGTGAGAAGTGCCATTAATCTATTTTGGCGACATTTTCTTCTACTAAAGCAGCCGCCAAGGGAGAAACCGATGCAAGCAGACTGTCTAAGGCTAACAGAAGACATCCGCGGACAGATCGTCCCAAAGCCTGAACACTCTAGGGATAAAAGGATCGATCATGCTGGCCAGTTTTCAATGAACAGTGTTTGACACGGTTAGAATGAGCAGCAGAAGTCTGACAGGTCTAGTGAACCGCATGGCGTGACAGAAAGCTTAGAGGAGCATAGTCTGTTGGCGTACCGATAGAAGAGAAATCGATCATGTCTATCCAGGCGAGGTGCGATGTCACTCAATAAGAAACGATTCTCTCTCCGGCAACCTTAAGTTCAATGCGCTTTCTTGTTCCAGCAGACAGCTTGCTGTTTCACTCTCTCTATGGTCGACTCCGCTGATAGATGGCACTTTGTGTTATCTTATTTTGATAGAGCTATGCTGGATAGAGGATAGTTGCTTATATTTCGTTCGTTGTTCCACCTGACACCAAGCCTAAACTATGCTGATTAGTTGCCGAAAAGCACGAAACTGCTGTCCATGGCTGGCTGTCTGTGATCGAGCGGAGCTATATTACTAGACTGACGAATAGGTTTAAAGATGCTGATTTTCCTGAACCCTATTATTTAAGATTTATCAACATTCATAGTCGAGCATCATTTGATGATGATTACTAGCAAAACTCTAAACTGTCGGCATGTTCAGTCGGCAATCCTTTACAGCAAAATCTTTTCGCCTAAAAATTCCTTTGTAGAAGGAGTACAGAGTTACAGAAAAGTGATCATAGTAAAAGAAATCCTTCGGTAAATTGGAAAGTGTTCGGAAAAGCCTTGTCGTCAATTTTTTGAAACAGTTACGTCGCATCTGTGCATATTTTCTCGGATACACGATGTAATTAGCCTCTTGAAAAATAGACCTTATTGAGAAGAAAATTACTGGTAGATCAATGAGATCATTCAAGGTCAAGGGTAAACTCAACACCAATTTTCAACAATTCCTAAATTTGGACCTTTTCCACTCAAAGACTTCCTTGATTCTGTCTACCTTGAAATTTGTACATAAAAACTTATGCAAAGTGCATTAATTGTTATATGTATAGAATAAGCCAATAGTACAACTATACACCAGTGCTCATAAAAATGTTATTTTTGAATTTAAGGGGGATTGTTAAAAATATTTGGGACAAGGTCTCCCCATATACAACTTATATTTTATAAATGGTATACGCTATGTTTTATTGCATAATTGGATTAGTCAAAGAAAGAAGATTTAAGTAACATGCTTAGAGCAGGAGTTTTGCAGTTTTCTATGTCTTTCCATGAGGCTTCATACATTCATGTCAATTTCTGAACAACCAACTATCATTCAAAAGCTCACACAGCTTCCGTAGTTTTTTCCACTAAATATCTTAGTGCTTTTGATGTATTAAAACTTGTTTAGCATTCTGTTGGGTTGAGTGTTTCCCATCACTCTGTAACATCTCATTTGGTACACTTGACTCCTACTAGGAGTGCAGTGGTCTGTTTTAAGATTGTATTATAATATTTTGTAAACCGATAATAAATTCAAATAATAAAAATGTTGCATTGATACTTACCATATCATCAGCCACGATAACAATAACATTTGGCTTCGTATTCCCATCTTTAGCTAGAGAGTGTTGACAGGTGAGTAGCAATCCAACAACTAAAAACAAGCACCTCATCGTTGATTTTTGAAATTTCGAACCAAAAGAAATAATTTTCCGCGCCGCTTTTCCGGAAAACCCGTCCGACTACGCTGTGGCTGTCAGCGTCTCAACGCAGTTTCCGCGCGCGGTTTGGATCTCGCGAAAAATCCTCACGAACCATTCAGTTTTATAACTTTGCTAGGGTGGAGGTGGTAAACAGACAATCACCGGCATCATTGACCGTCATAGTGATAACTCGCAGAGACCGCTTAAAGTATCTAATCCGGTTTTTAAGCGCTATTTCTGAATTTGAAATTTAAACGTCTTCTTCGGAAACTCAAGATTCTTCACGAGGTTACAGCTAAAAAATGTAAGTTTCAAAAGATGCAAATTAGCACATTTCCTCTGTACCGTTAATCCGTTAATACCAGGACAGGCAAAAAGTAGGACAAATGTATTCTTTGAAAAAAGAAACATACTTGCGAAGTATACTTTCATTACAAATCCAATTTGGTACCCACATTAATGTGCATTTTGCAATCATTTTTGGAATATACTCTATACTCCAAATTGAAGTGAATTTTACAATAAGTTTTTCATTTCATCCTGGAATCAGACAGGTTAGAATCTCCTGCGCTGTTATTAGTTAGATTTTGTAAAGAAGCTGAACTAGATATACAATCACGACAACTTGAACCACTTTGTGGTATCTTAATTCGATAGACTTTGTATCCTGGAAGAGGAACGAAACCTATATTACTAATTTTGTTCAATGGCGAGTAGACCGCATGTACTATAACGCCAGAATCGGCGGCATCTAGTGGCCTCAGTGGTGGCCCGACAGTTCACTGCGAACTGGAACTCTGTTTCCACTCTCGCAGTGGTCGATTCTGGTAAAAGATGGCGCCGTGTGCTCTTATTTCCGACGAATGAAATCTAGAGTACTAACTTGAACCAACATTGATCAACAAGCTACTTTGGACCTTTGACTTATCTGCAATAACAAAACAGCTGAACAAGACTATAGACTTTCTCAAAATCCAGAAACGATGATAGCTTTGGGAAAATTTTAGTAGCGTCTAGGGAAGTTGCACGAAATATTGACAAGACGTTTGAACAAAAAAATTCTTATGAAGGAAACGATGATCCAAGAAAAATGGTGAACATTTATTTTGCAATGCTGAACACTGCCAAAAGCTCAGTTACATAGTGATTTAATCGGCTGCAAGAAATTAATTCAAAATTTGATTTCTTGTACCATTTTGATGAACAGAAAAGAAACCACTTGGTTCTAGATCATCACGTAAAGCTTGAAAAGGCATTGACCCACAATCAGTTTAAGGACATTTACATAACAGAGTTGTGTGGCGGGCTTCAACTAATTCTAGAAAAATAACTAAACAGTCAATTCCAACCGATGTCCTTGATTTTATTTTAGAATCTGCCTTGGAAGACCGTACCCTCAACTGAAAGACGGTTCTCAACTGTGCGTACCACCACCGTGTCGTCTTCTTGCTGCGTGAAAACATAGCATAAATGAACAATTATGTTGGTTAGTTTTGAATCTACCATATAAGCTACGATTCTGATGAGTGGTCATGAGGCACAAAAGACTTATGAGCTTAACAAGGCCCAAATTTCTTTGGTACATTGATATAATTGATTCGATCAATCGTTGCATTGGTGAGAAAGAGGCTTAAGGCATTTTAATAAGTGATCCTCTTTTAACCCCATCCAGGATGTCCAACAAACGGGGCTCTTCTCGAGACACGAAAGTCTTATCTGAACTTGCTCCGTGCTGTGAAACTTGATGATGAAATGTGCTTCTCAACTGTAAGCATATACACTAGATCCATCCCGGTGGCTACCAGAATTGTCATTTACAAGCTGAGCAATTTTGAGCTTTTTTGACAAGTTAGAACAAATAGCCTCTTGATAAAGCTTTGCCAAATATTAAAGTCAGACGTTCGTTTTTTTTAGACAAGGGAAAGCTTTTATTATATATATATATATATATATATTATATCAGAATGTCCTGTCCGAAGTGAGAGATTCCCCAAAAACTGCCCACTAAAACCAGTCCACCACCGAAAACCTTTACAGCATTTCGTCATAGTGTCGCACTAAAATTCATACTCAACTGTGTATCTACATACCAAGCCGCCAGAGAAACCTACTGTTGGTTTCTCTGTCTTCTTTTCTCGTCACAATCCTTGCAACCCAGTTGCCCTCCTCTACATGCTTAGCAAAATTGTCAGCAGTGGGCCTCTCACCGAACACTAGTCCCAGTTGTATTAAGAAACCTAGATGCAAAGTAAGTAGCCTATAAGCAATCACCCACATGCAGAAATAACCTTGAGAGGTTTTTCGACCAAGGAAAATTCCTTGCTAGACTTCTCTTCAACTCATTTGGAATAACGTTGTAGCTGAAACCAGCACCACCCGCGTAGATATTTTGGGATCGAAAAGAAAAACCAGCAACTACAATGGATGTGTTAAAGACAGGAAAAGCGATCCTCCTCTCATTTCCATACAGAGTAGTATTGATTTCATAAATTTGGAATCGGTAATTCACCCATTCTGTCAAGAACAAGTGTATGACGAGTGTTATCTACAGGGAAGTCCACCAAGCCCTCGTTTAGATAATTTTAATCTTATGTCATCGGCTACCACTTGTCCGCTGCAAGTGTTGGGAAGCCCAGAAGCTGTTGCTACCAGTTGACCTGTTATGTGGTAGAAGAGCCGCGGGCAATATTTTATTCATGACTTCCATTACAATTATGTCCTTCATATAATATAGTGTTATATAAAATCCGAGAAAACTATTAACGAATACTTTTCGGTTCAACATGTTATCTACATATGAGTACTTGTTAAGTTTGTTTTTCTTAAAATGGAACTGCTGCGTCATAGGAGACAAGCGTACTAAATTAAAACTTCTCTTTCTTTCACGGAAGAGCTTCGAATAAGACTCTATCCGCGCACACAAATAAGAAACGTCGGTATATAGACAATATCTATAATCTATCAGGATGGGGTTATAGCCCGAGGTGGCAGGCGACGGGTAACGAGCAGTAGGTGACAAGTGACCATCCATTTAGACTTTTCACGGTGTCGGGTACGGGCTGAGGGTTGCAGAGCGAAAATAGAGCAAATCGGAGTATCCCTCCAGCGAGTATTGCCAAATATTATTGTTACATTCTCTTCAAATGATATTTTAGGTTTCACTGCCCCGCACCTCATCTACTGATCGATACTGGGCCGCGTTTATTTGTTTTAAAATGGCGTAAATGCCATTGGAATAGGTTATACATAAGCTATACGTTGTTGTTTGGCTATGGCTAGTTTCACAGAATCAAACATGAAGTTAAATACTCAAAATCTCCCTAAATTGGTAATTCTCAGTCGTGCAAATAATATATATATATATATAAAGAGAAAATTATCATGCGGAGAAAGGTATATAACAAAAATAGGAAAATAATGGACAAAATCCGCAAAAAGTGGATTCGAACAGAAAATAGGATAAGGTAACCCGAGCGATACGTATTTCTGCTGGTTGGTTTCATCTGGCCCGAAATGAATGCACATATGCAACTACAAAAGTAGAGACACATGCCCATACATCCGGATACGGGTGTAACCTGAGGAAACAAAGTTGGAGAGGAAGTCCACAACAAGAGCCAACCTACACATTGTATTCGGGCCTGATGAAGCCAACCGGCCGAAATACGTATCGCTCGGGTTACCTAACCTATTTTCTGCTCGAATCCACTTTTTGCGGATTTTGTCCATTATTTTCCTATTTTTGTTATATACCTTTCTCCGCATAATTTTCTCTTTGTAGATCCTTTGGGCTTGAAGTACCACAGCAAGTGGCTATAAACGACCGCGTGGTTGTGGTTATTTGTCGCCTTGAAAATTCGAGGTCTTCTAGCCATTTTATACTACAATGTGTAGGTTGGCTCTTGTTGTGGACTTCGTGTGTCTTTTTTTCCTCTCCAACTTTGTTTCCTCAGGTTACACCCGTATCCGGATGTATGGGCATGTGTCTCTACTTTTGTAGTTGCATATGTGCATTCATTTCGGGCCTGATGAAGCCAACCAGCAGAAATACGTATCGCTCGGGTTACCTATCCTATTTTCTGCTCGAATCCGCTTTTTGCGGATTTTGTCCATTATTTTCCTATTTTTGTTATATACCTTTCTCCGCATGATAATTTTCTCTTTGTAGATCCTTTGGGCTTGAAGTACCACAGCAAGTGGCTATAACCGGCCGCGTGGTTGTGGTTATTTGTCGCCTTGAAAATTCGAGGTCTTCTAGCCATTTTATACTACAATGTGTAGGTTGGCTCTTGTTGTGGACTTCGTGTGTCTTTTTTTCCTCTCCAACTTTGTTTCCTCAGGTTACACCCGTATCCGGATGTATGGGCATGTGTCTCTACTTTTGTAGTTTCATATGTGCATTCATTTCGGACCTGATGAAGCCAACCAGCAGAAATACGTATCGCTCGGGTTACCTATCCTATTTTCTGCTCGAATCCACCTTTTGCGGATTTTGTCCATTATTTTCCTATTTTTGTTATATATATATATATATATATATATATAATCTGTAACCTTATATACCCATAGAAGTAAGGTATAACAAATTGTTCAAACTGTCTTCATTGTTTTGAAAGGTTGTGCACCAATTTTGCCCAACTCTTTTTGTCCCTGGCCTGTCGAACAGCTTCTGTCCAGCTGAGTCTTCTGTACTTCAGTGTCAATGAAATTCCGTCATTCCACTTTTTTGGCCTCCCTCTAGTTCTTTTCTTCATAAGATAAAGCTTCCCATATTCTTTTGACTGGTCTAGTTTCTTCCTTGCGGATTAGATGCCCAAACCATTTCAACTGGGTTTCCTCAATTTCTTCCAAGGCAGATCTAACCCCTAACTCGCTTCGTATAATCTCGTTCCTAATTTTGTCTCTCCTAGTCACTCCTTTTACTGCTCTCAAGTATTTCATATCTATTGCTTGTATTTTGCTTCTTTGTCGGTCGTTCAATACCCAGCTTTCGCTTCCAAAAGTCAGGATAGGTCTGAAAATGGTTTTATATAGCGTCATTTTGGTCTTTCTGCTTATTTCTTTTTTCGATATAAACGATATTTTATGCTATGATACAGGTTCG